TAGGTCTAGCAAGGCTCCTCCCCTGGTAGGCTCACCTACCAGCTGTGTCGGGAAGTTATCTTCCACACACTCCAGGAACCTCCTAGACTGCTTGCTCTCTGCCATGTTGTACTTCCAGCAGACGTCCAGAAAGTTGAAGTCCCCCACGAGAACAAGGGCACTTGATTCTGAGACTACTGCCAGCCGCTTGTAGAACGTTTCATCTGTCTGTTCAACCTGGTTGGGTGGTCTGTAACAGACTCCCAGCATGATATCTGCCTTGTTGGCCTTCCCTCCCATCCTTATCCATAAACACTCAACTTTATCATCACAATCGTGAAGCTCTGTACAATCAAAACACTCCCTAACATAGAGAGCCACCCCACCACCTCTCCTTCCTTGCCTGTCCCTTCTGAAGAGCTTATAGCCATCCACTGCAGCACTCCAGTCATGGAAGTCATCCCACCATGTTTCTGTGATGGCGACTAAGTCATAGCTATATATATATAGCATATACATGATACAATTTCCAAGCCTTCTTTAAAGGGGAAATAGATTCTTTGAAAAAGTATAAGTTACTAAATAAATATATTCTTTGTATGGCATATCCACCTCCCTCTTCATAAAACTCCTAACATGTTATTTCAACTCTAAAAGGAAGCTTTTTATTTCAAACATAAATATTAAGAAAAGCTTTAGGAAATAGTAAGTAGTTACAACTATTTTTTATCACATACAAGCTCTAGATAAAATAGCATGTTTTAAGGAAGACTGCAACACTAAGGTGTATTAAGTAACTCCTTAGGGTAAGAATAGCTGCAACTATTTTTTCACACAGTTTGCAAGACTGCTGAAAAGCTTAAGCCTGGTCTCATATGATATAGCTGTTGTCATCAAAGCAGTCTTTTCAAGTGACATTTCACATGCCAATCCCCAAAACAATTGGTCATCATGAACAGAGACAAGTTTGTAAGGAAAAATTGCATAGCTTTACAACTGTATAAAAAAAGTAATGTTTTTTTCATCTGTGATGGATGAAGAAAACCTGTTGTCTAGGAATACCAGCAGTCAAAAAGCCAAGGAATTCTTTTGTGTAGCTTCAAGAACTTAAGAAAAAAGACAGTTTGGTAAAAACATCAGTCATCTTCCATATTTAAGGTGCATTAGGATGGAGACTACCAAAGATGACATTTTGATTCCTGTCTCACACTTTTTATGCATGTTCTAATTTTGAGCCTGAACTCACAGAAATCCTCTGTAGTTTTGCAACTAGTACTAAAAAACTGGAAAAATATAACAGCGAATCTGCATATTACAAATAAATCTGCAAATATTTTCATAACTCAGAATAACACTTTACAATTTACATCAACACCTGTCAATTTCATTGTCTCTCAAACCTACAAAGCCTTTGCCTTCTTATTTCCTCTTCTGAATGCTGCTCAGGTGGAAACCAAAAACCATAGGGTCACTGCTCATTATTATACACTGCTCCACCAAAATCTGCAAGATACAATGAAAAACAATTGTTATTTTGTTCTGTAATACGAGAAAAATGCACATATATCCTGTAATCCAAAGCATCACAACACAAGGAAACGGGGACTTGAATGTTTCCAATTCTGATGGTTTCAGGGCAACCACAACTTCCAGCAACTGCTCTTAAAGACACTGAAATAAATAAAAGAAAAACCAAAACCAACCAAAAAAAACCCAACCCAAAAAAACAAACCGCCAACCACTACCAAAAGAACACCCAAACATCTAACAAGTATTAACCTGGGAGTTCACATTTTTCACAATCCCTACTTTACACAGTAAACTCCAGATTGTTAAACTACTTAAACATCCTCAGTAGTTACTTCTGGCAAAATAAGCTTTTGTTTTTGCTTTTAGTATTGCAGTCCAACATGTGCTAACCCATACCAGATGCACATACAACTCCCATCCTTAGCTGGCACCAAGCAATTTCAGAAATAAACTACATGTGGCAGCTCCGCTACAGAGAACTGTAAGCAAATTAATCTGAGCAGAAATAGTACACCAAGACTGAGGATTGTCTTCCCTGGCACCCCAAGAGAAGACAAGAACAGGCTATTCCAGCAGCTCTTCAGAATTCACATTAAGTCACCAAGCAAAGAAACAATTAAGAGGTTGTGGTTACACACCACCTCAGCTGAAGGTCTCTGGGAAAAAAAAATGAGAGACTGCCTTCTAAGCATAGGTACAGTGTTAAGGATAAGCAAAATAGCTTTAAAGATAACACAACAGTCTCTGTAACATTCAGTATTTTTTTAAGCTTTCACCTCAGGATCTCATTTAAATTAGCAAAAGTGAATATGGAAAAACAAAAGTAAGTATTGTACTATCATGGTCATTTTCAAGATGAATTTCAAGTACAGCTGTATCCTGTATCAGAAATTGTTTATAACAAACACATTACGCCTGTTTACATGACATGAAGTCAGGCAGTCCAGCTTACGAAGACCCTCTGTTAGTTTCTTATCCAATTACAATTTCAGTTTGTAGAGTACTCACCAATAAATGCACAGTTTTGTGAAAATATTAGAACATGTTCATAATTTTCCTTTTTTGCTTGCCAAAAAGTCAAACTCTTTGAAAATACTTCCAGAGATAACTATAGCTGCTCAAACTCTGATAGGCAGCAATGTTAACATAAATGTTTATAAAATGAGATGCACTATTTAAAAGGATTTTTCAAATTTGTATTAACATGCAGGAAATTAATTTAATGTATATTTTAGTATTTTATCTTCAGCTTGTCCCTGTGTCTCAACTTGCTAGAGACAAATTTAACAAATATTTAATCTGTTACTCTGCCTCTGAAAACACTACGTCATTATTTGACAAATATTGTTCAAAATATTATAGAAAGCTAACATGTATTGGAAGTCAAAGAGCTTGGCACAGGTAACATTAACTGCAATGCTTCTCCATTTTATTCTTAAATCCAGGAGCAATCTCCTTGTCTAAAAAAACCCTAGTTAATATAATCTGCAGCATGGGCAGAACAGTTTCCATTAACAAAAAAATATGAAGCTGAACTAAATGTTCATTTACTACATTTATTTTCCCTCATTTTACTTTGTTTCTAATACAGGAAGGTTTGTTTGAAAAGAAAAGACACATAGTTGTTTTACTGTGTCCTATTGACCACAAGCTGAGAAAAAGCACTGGCTTACAGTATTTTGTAATCCAATGAATATTCATTTAGAAATTAAAAACCCCAACAGCTTCAAATTGGAAGGCATAAATCAAGGTGGTCAGTAGACATCAGATCCTTTCATAATAGTGCAGAAATATGTCTAGACAAAAAATTTAAAAGGCCTCAGAAAGCTGAATAAATCTTTTGAAGTCAGTATTTATGAATTGGAGACACATAGTGGAATACAAATGAATATATCAATATATTTATCTTATCATCTGTAAGTGAAGAAATTGTTAAATAACACTGAATTCATAACATTCTCAACGATGTTTATGTTGTCATGGCAAGAAAATTCATGAGAAAAATCACTGATTTTTTTTTTTAATGGTATGTAATATCTAGGGTGAATAAATGGAAAAGAAAATGGGCAAATAAAGGGCTTTTCATGTGTTGTTTATATAATAATATAACACCAATTAAAATGCCTAGTATTTTCCTTATATTTTGACTTTTGATGGGTATACTTTAAAGATAATTATTAAAAACAGCTGAAAGATAAATTTTGATATATGAAGAGTAATATAGTCAACACCCTGATTGTACAAATGGCTGCACCATACATGGTCAAAACTGCATTGTAATGCTGAAGTTTGATATATTTTTTTTTAATAATCATAATTGGGAAAACATTTGCATTTTTAAAATTATTTTTGTGTAGTGATATTGTCAAATATCAAGGTTTCTCATTGAAACATTTATTTTTCTATATAGCATCCTTGGTTAGTTTTTGTCTAAGAAATCAGACACCACTTATACAGTTGAGTACTGCCAGAGTCCCCATAAAATATGCTCAACACATATAAATGTGCTTTAATAATCACTAGAAATCAAGAGATGTTTAAAAAAAATATGCAAAATGCTTCTTTATATGTTGACCCAAAAATAAAAGACTGACAATGCATTTTGAAACGCTTTATGTTCAAGAAAATATATTACTTTATGTCAAACAAAATGGTGAGGAATGAAGTTGTCTGGATGTGAAGGTTTAAATACAAGTATTTATGTATGTATGTGTATTTTTAAATTATCCTTTCACTCAAAATAGTTCTCTGACACATTTTTTTTAATTATAATAGAAATATTAATGAAATAAAACCTGTATCTAACCAAAATATTTATAAGCCACAGGGTTCAGAAATAGCAATTAGGCCACTGCTAGTACTGAAACAACACCTGGACTTACATGCAAGAAATGAACACAATCTTTTCAACACACCAGCAAAAAACTTCAGGACTAATTGATTTTAAGACTATATTTAAAGTATTTTAAAAAAACTGCAGTAACACCAGATGATAAACAAAACCAAGGGATATAGTACAAAAAAGTTAGAATAAAATACTAACCCTTACATTGCATATTTGTAAATTAATTTTATTGTGAACTAGAACTGTGTTCTGTGAATATGGAAGACTTGAGACCCCCCACACCTTTCCCGTCACTTGAGGAGGGGTGAGGGGAGTGGGGGGGTGTTACTAAAGTTTACAGTTATAGGACTTTGGACCAAAACAAGAAAATCACTGTAATTGCAACTGGTTTAACTAAACCTGTATTAGTGTAATACAGATAAAGCTTTAATAAACTTAAACATTTTCAGCCACGTGTTAAATAAATATGCTTATCATGCCTAAAATACTTACTGTAGTCAGGCATTACAGTACATCACTCTGCAACCTATAGTCCCCCATAGGTATAATGTATAATGCATTAAGCATTGGTTCAAAGGTTACCCAGCATGTCAAAATCAGAAATTTGATTATTCACAGACACACAGTCTGAAATGAAGGTGACAGCACTGATTTTCCTCCCTTTTTAACATATTTTTTTCCCCACTATGAATGAGCAAGCATCTCAGCTGAGAAAAGTGAGAATGTTTTGCACTCAGCAGAGTCGCACACAGCTCATCAACTTGGACTGCCAGTGCTGACACTGAGCGCGTTTGCCCATTCTCCCTTCCTGGTTTTCCTTCAGCACCTGATCTACGTCAAGATTTACATGAGGAAGTGCTTGTATAGTAACCATGACAACAATTTTGGAAAGAAGGCTGTAAAATTATTTTTGCTGACACATGAGATGATTCTTACTAGTTAAAAAAATCCAACACAGATTTGCAGATTGTTACTCAAATTTGCACCCTTTTTCTTGGATACAGAAAAATAATAACAATTGAGCAGAAGCCTTCTCAAGTCAAAAGATATAATTAACCAGAGGAATCCCTCAAGAAATGAGAGAGTTTGTTATACTCTCTTGGTTCCAGTCAAAGTTCCAAGTTTTGGAATCAAATTACAGGCATGTTCAACACAGTCATTTTAAAAATGCAGCTGCCCGATCTGATAATGCAGAAAGAAAAATGTATTTCATATGAGACTATTAGCCACACCTTACTGGCTATTGGAGACTTTGCACTGAAAATTTTGCACCCAATATTGGTTCTTCTGATTCCTAAGAAAAACTTCTGGTTTATATCTTAAGTTCTATTAACTGCTTTAATTTTTATAATTAACAAATTGCAAACAAACAACTATCTCAATTCAGAAATTCTGACACAGCAGATACTCATTGCCTATAAAGATCTCATTGAATGATACTTCTGGTTTAGAATAAGAAAGTATATTCCAAATTCTATACAAACAGAGACAGCCCATAACAAACTCAACCAACAATAAATGCAAGGAGTTAGGACTTTCTTAGTGGATATAAGTCTTTCAAATGAAAGACTTAACTCTGCAATACACATGTATTTCAGTTCTGTTCTCATGCAATTCTGGGCGCTACTGAATTACAACAGCTGATAATGCCCAAAACTTCCTTAGAGACCTTATGATAGCAGAAGGAAACTTAATAAATGTTTCAATGTGCCCTACGGATTCATATTTGAGGTGAAGTAAACTCTGAACTTCTATTTCATCACTGAACTGATGCTGAATAGTTCAAGTTACTTCTAACAGGTCATTTGCAAGTAAAAGATTATTTCAAATTAAGTACTATCATACTGAGTACTTTTAGTGGACAATCAGGAGAGCAACAGATTATTATTCTTGTTCATTCTTCAATTAAATCACGTTTATTTTGTTAAAAAGAAAAATTGATGAAAACTTGAATATTCAAAAAATTTTGGCTTCTGTTGCTATATCCATTGCACAGTATATTGGAAAAAAATAAGGCATAACCACAGAAAAAAAGTCTTTAATTTTGTGTTTATTCTTCCATATGCTATGGATATTAAAAAAGCACAGGCAGCTATCACTACTGGACAAACAGCAGGAATTTCTACTG